AAAAAATAAAAAATTCAAATGAACTCGCATGCGAATTCACTACTGCAATGAACCTACTAAATGTTATTATGAATGAACGCAATTTTAAATACTTCAGGCCTATCGGTTCATCAATCCATGGAAGAAAAACTAAATATCTAACTACTCAATATATGGAAAATAATAATATATTGCCTATGTCTTTGATTTGATGTTGAATATTGCCCCCTGCAAAGTAGGAGAAGGATGTATTCATTGCTGTCTATTAGCAATGTTACGCAAAAACTAAGGAATGGATCATCATACAGTAATATTTAGTCTGCAATGGTAATTAACATAATAAGCTAAGAAAGAGGTGATAACATTTTGGGGAAAAAAGTTGATAGGACAACAAGGTCAAATTCAATGTTTTACGCTCAAGCACAAAAGAATATAATGGAACCACCCATACATGACCTGTGCATTTGTTTCAGTTTGGTATTCAACACAGGGTGGAGGTGTCCACTTTATGCAGTGACTGTTCTAGTTATTATTCTTTCTATTAACTGATCTCATACTGAGCATTTTATTCCATCACATAATATTTTGATGTTCAGGTACATCAATGTCTCTATTATTATCATCATAAAACTATAACAAAAACCAAAAAAAGTTATCTAAAAATCAGAATTTAGAATTCTTTTGAAGTGAATAAAATATTTTTAAAAATATTATATTGGTTAGCATCTTAATAAAGGCTACACTGTAAATGATGGGTGTTTTTACAGAGGATACATTATATACAATATTTCCTTGACTGAAACTTGCAGCTCAACAATTGTGGTTTATTAAGGAAATATGAAGTCATTTGTATAATACAAATACCATATTTATTTATACTACAATTTGCTATGAATAAAAGCAAAATAGGACTATCAAAAAAAAATTATACCATACCTTCAATAATGTAAACTCTACAATATTTATTGATCTACAGAGGAAAATACAGTTACAGACTTATTTATTGAAACAGCTAACTTAAATATGATAACAAAATTTACACATACAATAGAATAAATTTGGAAGTAGCTGAATACACAAACTGAATAAGCTACAGAAGTTTTTTTACGGCATTTTTTTTATAGGAAATATTTCTTGTTATATTTAAGTCCTGTCATTACTATCAACATTTGGCAGGCCTAAATATGGTCATGATGACATCACATTAAGACCATATATAGCCACATCATGACCATATATGAGGCATGTTGTGGCAAAATGGCTAAGTTGTAGCAAAAATTGAAAATTCGAGTATGTGATTTTTAAAAATGAGGGGTCATTCATTCAAATAGGACATTTCAAGCCTAAGTTATTGGAAAGTGAAAGTACAGTACTCTTAGAGTCAAGATAAACATGATTTTAGGGTAATTACCTTTCAAAGTTATTTGTGCATGCATTGTTTAATAGAATGAACTATGAAAAATATCGTTTGTTAACTACTTCCAGAACTAATACTTTGGGACATGATTAATAAGACATTAAACTGTTGATCTATAGTGAAAAACAAATTTGGATTTTTAGGCAATTTTTGAAAAGCTCCCATAATTTATAGCTCATTTACTCAATACTGGACTATGCGACAACTTAACCATTTTGCCACAATATGCCTCATGGGCATACAACATTCTTTTGACAAAGAAAATTTGATAATCTAGACAGAGCTTTACATCACGCTTAATATGCCGACTCGAGCCTTTACCGACTCAGCCCATAACCAACTCGAGCCTTTACCGACTCAGCCCATAACCAACTCGAGCCTTTACCGACTCAGCCCATAACCAACTCCAGCCTTTACCGACTCAGCCCATAACTTATTTCTCAGAAAGCTAAAAGAACATTTTTACAACTGAGAGAATTTCAGATATGCCTATGCCCAAGTCAAGCTAAAAGTGAACTCTAATTACTTAATTTTCTCTTTTTGGTGTTTGTTGGTTTGTGAAGTGGGGATAGGGTTTGGGGGTGGGTGTTTTCCTATTTCTGATCAAATTTTTTGTGTACTTTTTTATTTGTTTGTGTGATTGTTTAATATTTATAATAATTATTATGCTGGTAATTGTAATTAAAATTATTGTAGTT